GTCTAGAGCAACGATAAAACTGTACAGATCATGTCATACAAACAGACTTATAAAAATCAAGTTATTGTATGGAAAACTTTTCYTTTTTGGACGAGATATCCTGACGAGATTTGGCATGAATTTTCATTCAAAGCAGCGGTATAATATCTGAAGAATTTTTTTACATCCGAAAATTACATCATATAGCTGCCATCAAAATCAATAACATTTTTTTAATGCTAAAAGTCTGGCCGCAGCCTCTCTAAACAATAAGTGTACATTTCCATATACATATATTAACAAATATTTGACTTAAATTCAACTTGAACTTCGATATCGTRAGCTCCTTCAACAATCAAAGTAAAAAAATAAACAGAGCTAAAAAAATAGTTGCGTCACATATTTACGTGCAACAAAAATCATGACGCAGCACAAGTGAGAGTAGCCGATATAGGACAACTAAACAAAAACAAATATCAAAAGGTAAAGGAAGGAAAAACAGACGACTAAAAAGTAAGCAAAGCAAACAAATTAAGTTATAATGCAAGCGACAGTTTTCTAAACACATGCGAGAGTGATACATGGATCCAAGTGAGTTGGGACACATGTCGCGTGTGTTATGACAACATGTAATGCTGACAACAACAAAGGGTAGSCGAAGAGAAAAGCGAAAGAGATGAACGGCAACAATATGACACAAACACATGGGAAAAATATGACTGACAAGTGCGCCAAGAGCACGGTAAGAATATGGTTTATCGTGCTTGTGTGTGTGAGTGTAAGTGAGAAGAAGAAGCATGCAAAAACAGTCATCAGATGACTGGCGTYGGTGAAGAAGACATTTGTGATAAGCATGTGCTGATAAGAAACAGACAGGCAGACCGCCAACAGCATAAAAAGGTAAGCTAACGCAAACAGGCATAGAAATTTTGTATAACTGTAAAGTGTATACACACACATAGCAGCACATACTGCCCTTGTAAAGCATTTATCACTGTGTCTWGTGTTGGCGGCGAAACGCGCAACGTGCCGAGAATATAGAGCAAATAATACACCGCTCAAGGACATGCRACCAGGCAAACATTTTGCCGCTAAACAAGCGTATATAAAARCAAMAAAAAGCACCGGTGGCTGCTAAAAATTATGCTAACAATGGATATTCGCGGTTCATGTGCGGCAATCATAATACAAACTACAAAGCTTACTAAAGCAACAACAATAAATATATACATATACATATATACAACAACAACAATACAAATAAGCAAGCAAATACACGTCGTGGAAATAAAAGAAACTTTTGAACAATATATATATACATATATAAAATACCAATTTTGTTGTTGTTGTAGGAATGTTTGAGCATAAAATAAAGTAACGCGGCTAAATTTGCTGGCTTGAAGCGAAAAGCGAAAGATGAAGACTGGCCGCTCTATTTCTGCAGTTGTCATTTGTAACGGCGTATGCGCCGTTGATGAAACTGCCAACTACGCGGTGAGTGATGTGGTAAGAGCGTTGATGATAACATGCACTGTTGTTGTGCTTTGATGTGTGTTGGTAGTGGAGCATTTTTGATTGAAGAGCAGCAAGAGCTGGGAGGATTAAATTATTATTGCTTTAAGGAAAGTGTGTTAGAAGATGAGGCTTAAAAGTTTTTGGTGGGAAAGCACCATGCTAGTTTTCGATGAAATTGAATATTAAAATAAATAAATATTTTTCTCAGATTCTGCTTAATATATTTGAATTGAAATTGAAATAAATTTTTTTTTTGGCTCCGGCTTTATTTATATAAATTTTGAGGTTATGTGGAAAAAGCTTGTATATAAAATCTTTTCATTACTTACACTTAGTTTTTCTGAAAATTGATATATGTATATTAAACCGTTTTTAACTCTAAATCGAATTACCTCTTCCCTTCCATATCCCGTTCTCAGATTTCAACGTAAATAATATTTCCACTCATTTTTGTAATTTTATTTTATTTTTCTAACAGATTTCATACTAAAATATTTTTTTTTTCCAAATTATGCGACCCTGGTCTATGCTTCCAACACGATTCCCATAGCTCAGAGTTTTACCTAATACTACAAAAATTATGTCAAGCTGTGATTGCTTATCTAAGCACTGATTTGTTAAAAAATTACCCTACCAACGGTATTTCATAAATATTTTTTAATTATTTTAAAAATTTTCTGTAATTAAAATATTACTTAAATTATTTTCATTTACACAATATGCGAAAATTTATTTTAATATTTTTTAAATTATTTTAAATTTTTTATTTATTTTATCTTCATTTACTCAATATGAAAAAAATATATATGTACATATGTATATATTCTTATATTTTTGAATTATTTTAAAATTATTATTTATTTCATCTTTACTTAATCAAAAATATTTTTTTTTTAGATTACGATTCAATTATTGCGAACGCGACTGTGCAAGCTGATAATGAAGTTCTATTTCTCTATAATGAGCAGTTCTCTCTTATTCTGCTAAGAAACTCTGTTAATATACACAGCGAATGTAAACACTCCATGTTAATTACATAATACAAAGAATGTTGGTAAACAGCAAAGCACAACAGAAATAGTGTGACTGGGCATATGTATGTACATACATATGTACATATGTATTTCTGAATTTACGCTCAGTTGTTTACAAAAGTACTAGGAACGAGACGAAATGAAGAAGGAAAATGGAAGAGGCATTCAAAGATATCTGCTAAAAATAACTACGGCATCTGTTGGCAGCTAGAAGGATCTTAATTAATACAGTGGCCGCCAAATTTTTTAAATTTTATATGTGCTTTGGAAAGCTTATTTATGGATGTACATNATTTTTTAAATTTTATATGTGCTTTGGAAAGCTTATTTATGGATGTACATATATGTAAATATGTATGTACATATGTCTGTATATTTAAGATAAAAATGAAATTTTAATTAAAAATAAATGTATAATAACTAGTCATTAATAGGTATATTTCTGCATGATTATATTATAAAATTATTGCTTTAATAATTTAAAAGCACTTACCGCACTTTATTTTACTTCGTTTCGCGTTTTTTGCAATAAATTGAAATACTTCCCTAATCTAAGCTATTTTCCCTACTTCTAATACTTTATTTAAATTAACATAACATTTTATACAACCCACTGGTAGAGCTCTGATTGCGTCCACGCTATTTAACACTTTACATTAACATAACATTTGATGTACAACCACTGGCAGAGCTCTGCTTGCGCCGACGCACAGCGCTCAGCTTCTGCATTCACTTATATTCACTTTCACTTTTAATACACATATAACAACACCCGATAATTTTTTTTATTTTAAAACGATTAAATTCACAAACTTCAACCTTATTCTACTAACAACTCCTTAATTGGAGCTTTAATTCCTAAACTAATTTCACTTTTCACGGAGCTGCTGCAAATACAACTTACACGAATGCGGTATAAAGCAACGACTATGCGAAATGGCGGCGGAAATTAAGAACGACCAATGATAATCGAGCTTCTAAATTGAAGTGACGTCTGCAGATACTGTAGGAGATCGCTTGCAACTACTACAGGGTTGACAAATATGACTAAGAGATGGCGCGTATATTACTCTTTGAAAATATCTAATACACAGGTGTTATTATATATTTGTGTTTATTAAGAGCTAAAACACTCAAAGTTGAATAATTTTTGACTCTCAAAAATGATTTTTAATTATATGATAACAAGTTGGAATATATGGAAACAGGAAATATCTGCTAGATACTGTAGTAGATCACCTAAAATCACAGTGTTCACAAATATTTTTGTGCTACAGAGATATGCCAGTGATAGGAATATTCCAATTATGTGCTACAACTTAGAATGTTATAAATAATACTACCTTTTAATTAGTTTGTGTTAAGCACATTGTTTGTAACGGAATGTATGACATTTTTCTGTGTGATGGCTACAAACATTAGTGGATGTCATGATCATGAACGTGACCAACAGATGGCGCACACAATCGTTGAAATTATATAATGCACAGATGTTATTATATTGTTTTATTAAGAGTGGAAACATTCAAACTTGGTTAATATTTTGGTAACAAAACTTATTTTTAATTATCTAATTAATTTTAAATATATAAATGGTTTTGGTTAAAATTGTAGTAGCGCTGTTAGTAGTAGAAGTGGTTTTGTGTCTTCAGATGTCGCGTCTTTTTTGACAGCTCGAATATGATTGGTCGTTCTTGACATCCGCCGCCATTTCAAACATACGCTTCCTAGTAGTTCGCGTGCGTCGGTGGAATTTGCAGCAGCTCCGTGAAAAGTGCAATTATTTTAGTTATTACAGCTGCAATTTATAGTTTTTTTTAGTAAAATTAGGTAATAGTTAGGGCAGTTCGGGTTTTTAGTCGAATAACAGTGAAAAGTGTGATCGGGCGTTATTAGTTGTGTATTATATRTGTMTGTATAGTGATTTGTGCAGGAGGAGCAAGCGATGTACTGCCAGAAGGTGTATATAAAATGTGTTCCTAATGTCGCTAGGAGCACCTGCATAGCGTAGAGATAAGTGAGGTAAGTCCAGTTAAAAAATATTAAAATTGGAAAATTATTTTGAAACGCAGCGTAGGCCCTGCTCCAAGCCATTGTGTGTACCTATGTAAGAATGTGTATCCATTTGCATAGCTATGCTTAGAACTATTTGCGATTGCTAAAGTTGAATAGTTGCGCAGCCACAGCATTGCTGTAAGATCCTACTAGCTGCCAATAGATGTCGCTGGTATGCTCAAGAGTGAATATCATCAGTTGCCTCCTCCTATTTCCGCCGCCATTATTTATACTTCCTTTTAGCTAACCGTTCGCGTAGATGGAAATTGCAATAGCGAGCATATTCTCTCTTAACAACAGCATATACTCTCTTGATTGCAGCTAATACCGCTTGCACATTTTCAGAGCTGCGCAGTTACATTCTTGCTGTTACTGTTCATTAACATTTTCTGTTAGACTATCGTGCTTAGCATCGTTCATTAACATTTTTGACAATGAGCTTACAGGACAAAACGGTAGTGTCCATGATGTTAGGAAACTAAAAAATAAATATAAATACCAAAAAGTAAAGAATTAAAAATTAAAAAAATAAATAAAACATAGTGAAAAGTAAAAATTTTTTTGTATGTTTTTAATTAAATATAATTGGTAATGATTTATAAGCTAAATAGCTTTTGTATGCTTTTAGTTAAATATAATTTCTAATGATTTAGGAACTAAAATATTGATTTGGTGCTAGTAAAACTATAGGGGGCTTGCTACGCTTAATAGTTATTTATCGTTATATTTAAGTTCATATTGTTAGTTGATAAATCTCGAGGTAGTGCTATTTATCAAATATTTACTCGCAACATTATTCTTATACCAATGTGTTCTGCAAAAATATATTTCTTTGAACAGCTATATTTAAATTAATAAAATCTTCATTTAATTTACAATTTCTAAATTAAAAATATTTGGCAACCCTTTTCCGTTTTTCCCATTTTATTTAATTTGGTTTGTAAGTGATAAGTGTTTAGACATACATATATCGCAGATTAATATAAAATTATATATGTATATACATATGTACATATGTATATAATCACATTTTGTGTAGTCGTTCACTTTGAAATATCGTCATATCACCCTCGGTCTCTGTGCTCTTAGTTGGCGCCATGCTCTCTAACTCTTTTGAAGATGAAACAAAATGATAAGCGCCGCCCATGCACTATGATGTAGGGCACAGCAAAGGCTGCGAACATGACTTACACGTTCGGACAGTTTGCGCAAAAGCCTCAACTAAGCCACTTAGTATACAATTATCATTTTGATGCATCAACGAATTCTTTCCACTGCAATGCCTGTTCGGTTCGCGATACTGACAAATCGCGAGAAGCTCTGCGTCACAGTTGTTATCATTCATTAAAAGTATTTTGTTGTACAAATAAAGATCAAGACAATCTTCATTGTTCCAATTGTTAGGATTATTTGATGACCATTTGGTGAACATCAAAGGTCGGCCAGTGGTGTGTGAAACAAATTTTCCCTCCCTTGCCAAATCGTTGCCGTCAAACCAAAGTCGCGATTCTATTTTTCTAGCTGAAATGTAATTTTGCAGTGCCAGCATTTCTGCAGGCGATTCAATATTTGCCAATTCGCCACCATAAGAGCGGCAGTAGTAAGAAGACGCGAACCAGTTCATCTATTCGAAGAGATATTTTTAATAAAAACAATAATCACTTCTCTATAGAGCACCTACCTTACCTTTAATGACTCGTTTATAAAGTAGTACTTGTTGCCAATTTTTATGAAGGGATACATATTCTCCGCGTTTTCTGAAAGTACTTTACCCGATTGCAAATGATTTTCAAATAATGTACGTAAATAACAATAACAAAACGAAGCTCTTACCATCATTATTAGTAGGAGAACCAACCGCGAAAGCGCCATAGATGTTTAGAAATGCAAATAAAATATGTAACAGAGTAACCATCTCCGTTATGCTTTTACTTGAGCTGAGTCTTTGACTGATTCTGACTTATTCCGATAACGTTCTCTATCTCACTGTTGTATAGCAGCGTAAGTGTCTTATAAATAATCAATTAAAAAAAAAAAAAAAATAAATAAAGAGATAACAGTAAAAGTAAAAATAGCGATATGCATGTCATATTTCTAACTAACTAACAAGTGCATCTCGATTAGACAGGGTGAAACATCTGCTAGTTTGGTAGAACAGCAGAAAAAAATTTGTTGTACTTAAACTAGAATAAAAAATAAAGTAAGTGCTAAGTTCGGCTGCAACCGCACATTTGCTACTCTTGCAACTTGGGATATAAGGCTTRTTAGTTATGTGGAGTCTAATGGATAAAACTACCCATTTTATTCATTCGTAGCACAAAAATGTACCGTAATAAAAAACACGTTCTATAAATCATTATAAAGTCACCAATTGTAGCACACAAACATACTGTTATAAGGAAATAATTCTCTATGAAGTTCAATTATATGTATATCTCACATATTACTGATATTTTCGGTAAAAATTGAATTATAAGCTCTGGGTAAACATATTCAGTATCTAGGGGTTTGAAACCAAAACCAAAACTGTAATTCGATTTACACAATTTATACATATTTCATAAAACGGCTCTTCAAAATGCACTATGCGTGCCAAGTTTTATTCTGATATATTAATTCGTTCTTGATTTATATACTGTGCTATATCTGAAGTAGTCCAGGTTGTTATCCAATTTCSTCCATTTTCGCACTGAAACATAAAAATATTAGATCAATGTCACACAACAAATTTTATTTAAATCGGAAGGGTGGATCTTGAAATACATATGTGATGGACATCAGATAGTCACCCGTACCCCAACTCGTTTCGTCATCCTGATCACTTATTTATATTATATATAATCCCATATTTATCTCGATTAGTTTCAGGTGAATAAAATTATTATATTCCGTTGCAATATGTTGCGAGAGTACAAAAACAAGGCAGTTACTCTTTATTTGCATTGATGTTAACAAATTATGTGGAATTGCTGTTATAATCCCGGGCAAACAACAAAGCCATGTAATTTGTTCATTTTATGTTACTGTAAACCCGCCGAGTGATCGTCTGTAACTTCGTTACAGCATGCACAACAGTGTAGGAACGCTACATATTTGCGCATGCAAACGCAGTTGTTGACTCGTCATCACGAAACAGAGGAGCAGTACTACGGAAATTGTAAGTGCTGCTGAATGACCGAATCTTAACACAATTTCATTCGTGCTCGTTAACATTCTCTGCTTGATAGTCGTGTGTCTGTAAGTGTGCGCCGGTACGCGATCTGGATTAAAGTTCGTGAAAAAGTAAAAAATAATTAATTTAGTGGATTTTTTGTGTTTTATTTAAAAAATATTGGAATTTGTGAATGTAAAATGATAAGAGTATGTGAATTAATTGAAGTGAAAGTGTGCAAATGCAATTTGGCAAAGCAGTGCACAATGTGTTGGTTTGGCAAACATGTTTCAGCATGCTCGTGTGAAAAGATATGCCTTTGCTCGAAGGTGCGCGGCAAACATATATTAGTAAATCTAAGTTTAGTGAGAAATTTATCAATATTTTTGATTTAAAATTGTTTTTATTGCTTGATAATAGCGTTTAAAATACCTGACGTACGTTTAATTGAAGGAAGTTAAATATGTGCAGGTAACAAAAGGAAAGGAAAGGGTGAGCATATATGTATATATGTATATATGTGCATCCATTTTCTATTAAAACAGTTTATAAAAAATTATATACGTTTTTTATTGTGTAAAAAAGTTTTAGATATCTTAATTTTTCTAAGCAGTAAATATTTTTTTTATGAAGAAATGCTCTTAGTTTGCTATATATACATATGAAGGTTACAACTGCGTTCTTAAATTTGTTCCATCAATTTAAAAATCTTAYTCAAATTACTTCATTTGCAACTACTAAATTTCTAAATTACATACCTTTTAACCTTTTTAATACTCTTTTACATATTTTTGTGCTCTTGTAAACAACTTCAAGACATTATATTTGGCTTATTATGCCATTTAGGCTTGTTATTTCTTATGATTACCGCTTTTAGGGGTTAAACATGCCTTTTAACCAGTCTCTTATGTTGATATCCTGCTCTATTAAGTATAAATGTTTTTGTGTGTGAGCAAGTATGTTTATTTGTGTGTGTTAAGATGTACAAAATACGGTGCTTGTTATATAATTTGCTTCCCAACTTAGCTATTTCGGTTCGCGTGCGTGTTTATGATTGCTACTTAATTTTGTGTTTGCAACACTTTCGCCACCAAAAACGTTTTCGGCTCACATTTTTAGCATAAATGTGTGTTTGTGTGGGCTTGTAGGAAAAAATTGTATAGCCCCAGCAAGTAGATTATAAGAAATTGCTTCATTTGTTGGGTTGATGCAAGTGAATGTGTTTGTTAAATTTCCGTGTTCTGACATTTTGGCTTAAAAAGCTTTTAGACTAATTAGTTTAATAATTTCATATTATATAAACGCTAAATAGTTCTGTCGTTTGATGTGAAGTTCCGTCATAAAAGGGTTCAGGTTGTGGTAAAAATAATTATGGAGACCTTCAGTGAGGTCTAATGCCTGTTTAAGCAAGTATGCCTTATATGACAGAGGCTTGAACAATGTTGGTTGGCGTAAGGCAGCACTTTGTTTTTAGATTTCGGTTATAGAAATGTGGTTATTCAAGGAAGTTTTGTTCAAAAATTTACTTTTATCTCTTTATATAACTTTATCTAATCAATTTTTTTTTCTATTCCAAGAAATCTACTGCATCCTAAAAGAAGAGACTTTTTCGTATATATTTTGGGGTTTTAAAATTGTCGTCCATATTTTTCGTAAAACAAAATTTTCTCCAATTAAATATCTAAAAATTTGAAATATATTTGTTAATATTTCTTTCTTTTATATAAATTCTTAGTACCATACATATTTTGGCTATTTTATATATAAGGCTTCTGGGTCGTGAAAAATTTTTGTTCATATTTTTCGTAAAGGAAATTTTCCTGAAATAAAATATCTTAAAATTTTTTCGCTAAAATCTTTATTATATGAGATCTTAAAGTCAAAAGTTCTATTTTATATAAAATTTCGTGAAAATTCTGTGTCCATAATTTTTGCAAGAAAAAATTTCCTAAAAATAAGATTTTTAAATTAGAAATATATTCAATATAAAAAATATTTTTTATATAAATTATGTGAGTTATGAAAACATTGTGTCCATAATTTTTATTTAAAAAAAATGTTTAGAAACTAAACTTCTGATTATTAGTTGAGAAATTTTAATTTTATAAAAAATTTTGTGTCAATAATTTTTACAAGAAAAAATTTCTCAAAAATAAGATTTTTAAATGAGAAATTTATGGGACAGAAAAATATTTTCGAATAATATTTCTTTCGAGACTCAATAAATTATTATAAATATACTGCTGGCATGCATATTTTAGCATTATTTCACGCCACTTCCAATATGACAACCACTTATACCTTTGCCCTCTCACTGCTGCATTTATTTCGTTTATTTAATTTAATAATCAATTTGCAGTTAATTGTTTTGCGTGAAATTTCTGACATTAATGTAAGCGCCGCGTGACAGTTCACCTTTGAGAATTCCACATTATTAAGCGTACGTGTGTATATATCCCGCACTCTTTGTTTGCGTGTGTTTGTGTAGGTGAGCACGCAYTTGAATGAACGGCGAATCGCGTGCGTGCGTGAGTTGCCTGATTTTCGGCGCACAAAATAAAAGTGTTATTATTACGACACTTGCGGGAATTTGGAGGGGGTGGGTGGTGTGTGGGTTACTTGGAAGTAGTTGCGAAAGCGGAAATGTTAATTAAAAGGAAATTATATTTTAATCGCTGTAGTTGGACAACTTTTTTCGGCGCAGCTATGAGTTAGTGGCTTTTTGTATGTATTAATTATTGTAATATTTATGTGGCAATGYGCGTGTGTTGTTATAATTAAGTTTACATGCTTTGCTTAAGCCGCAGACAGTTTGTGTAATTGATTTATTATTTCTGCGCTGTTAGCTGTTTGTGTGTGTTCGGTTGGGTGGTGCTTTTGCTGCTTTTGAAGGGGAAGTATTAATTAAATATAGCAGTTTAGTCTGTGATAATAACTTTTATGCCAGTATAGAGCTTTCATATGTATAATGTGCTTTTTTTTAGTTACATTTTTTGAAGCATAAAAGGGTATGTATAGAGTTTTAGCTTGATTTTTAAAGGTAATTTTGTATGGAAGCCATATGCCATAGTATTCCGATCTGAACAGAGATTGTATTCGATAATATTATCTGTCAAATTTCGATAATTTGATTTGATAATTAGCCAAATCAAACATTTTTCCGTAGAATAACTATATCCTTGATAATCAGTTTGTATGGTAGCTATATGCTACAGTTGTTCGATCAGAAGAATTTTTTGGATATTATAGCGCTGCCTTGGATAACAGTTCCGGCCAAATTTCGGGAAGATATCTCCATAAATCGAAAATTTCTTCATTCAAGAATTAGATTTTGAGTGATTAGTTTGTATGGCAGCTATAGCGATCCGGTCTCGGCTGTTGCAATAAATAAGCAGCTCTTTGGCGAGAAAGTACGTGGGCAAAATTTCATTGCGATATCTCCAAAACTGGATGCTCGTACAGGAACTTCAACGTTTTCTGCTGGCTTTTACAAACTTCATTTTGTTTTTATTTAAACAATGTGTTAATAGAAATACGATGAATAAAATTTAGAGCATTATGACAAAAAGTAATTCAGTTTTCGAAAGACATATCAAAGAAATTAATGAATTGTATAAAGTATGAAAAATTCTGGAAAAATTGTGAAAATGTTGTGAGTAGCTGAAATGAACATTTGCAGATTGTTGCAAGGTTTAATCACGTCTGAAGCTGTTGCTGCTGCACCAGTTGTTMCAAGTTTTATAGAAATTGCCTATTAGTACCAACCTGGAAATATAAAAATTTATGAGATTTAGCATATGTTTGTTTTTCTTTATTTTTTT